AGTTTACTTGCTTTTTGAGAAAGTGAAAATATCAGACTAAAAAAAGTATCAATGCATTTTTATAGATACTGGAGGTCTGGGTTTACCTAATCTAACTCACTTTCTCACTTAATTTAGTTTAAAAACATTTTTTTAATGTAGCGTTCACTTACTGCAAGGCATTGTTTTAGCTGCAGTTAAAATTTAGAGAAAGAACTAGAAAACCTAGAGGAAATTGATAAATTCTTAGAAGCATAGAAACTCTCAAAGCTGACAAGGAAAAAAACAGAAATCCTGAAGAGACCAATGTCAAATAGTGAGATAAATTTTTTAAAAAATCTCCCAGTAACAATGGCAACAAAAACCCAGGAGCAGATGCATTCAAAGCTGAATTCTACCAAACATACAAAGAAAATAAAGTACCAATCCTCCTGAAAGTGTTCCAAAAAATCAAGAATGAAGAACTCCCTAACTCATTCTACAAATCCAGTATCACCACGATACCAGAGGCAAACAAGGACATAACAAAAAAAGAAAACTAGAGACCAACATCCCTGATGAACATAGACACAAAATCCCTCAAGAAAATACTAGCAAACTGAATCAAACAGCACATAAAAAAGATAATACACCATGATCAAGTGGTTTTATTCTTGTGATGCAAGGATGGGGTTCAACATATACAAATCAATATAAGTGATTCATCACATAAAAAGAATTAAGTACAAAAACATTTGATCACTTCAATAGATACAGAAAAAGCATTTGATAAAATCCAATATCCCTTCTTAATAAAAACCCGCAACAAACTAGGCATAGAAGAAACATACCTTAAAATAATAAAGGCCATACATGACTGACCCCCAACCAATTTCATATTCAATGGGGAAAAGTTGAAAGCAATTGCCCTAAAATCTGAAACAAGACAAGGATACTCACTTTCACCACTTGTATTCAAGATAGTGCTATTAGTAGAAGTCCTAGCCAGACTAATCAGGCAAGAAGAAAGAAATAAAATGTATCCAAATTGGAAAAGAGGAAGTCAAATTACCTCAATTTGCTAACACCATGAACTAATACCTAGAAAACTCTAAAAACTCCTCCAAAAAACCCTTATATTTGATAAATAAATTTAGTAAAGTTTTAGGATAAAAAAATCAATGTACAAAAATTAGTAGCACTTCTATATACCAAAAACAAACAAACAAACAAACAAAAATCAAAAGTCAATGCCATTTATAATAGCCAAACAAATAAAATACATAGGCATACATTTAACAAAAGAGATAAAGTATCTCTATAAGGAAAACAAAATACTGATGAAAGGAATTATAGATGACACAAACAAGTGTATAAGTATCCCATGCTCTTGGATTAGAATAATTAATATCATTATAATTACAATACTTCCCAAAGTAATCTAAAGATTCAACCTATCAAAATGCATAATTTTTTCACACAATTTGAAAAAAATATCCTAAAACTTATGTGGAACCCAAAAATAGTCCAAATAGTCAAAGCAATTTTCAAGAAAAGAAAAGCTGGAGGCATCACATTACCTAAGCTCAAATCACACTACAAGGCTATAGTAACATGCCGTAATAGCATAGTGTTGTAATAAAAATGGACACATAGAAAAATGGAACGGAATAGAGAACCTAGAAATAAAGAATAAAGCCACATATCCACACTCAACTGATCGCTAACAAAGTTGATAAAAACATACAATGGGGAAAAGACAACCTTTTCAGTAAATGGTGCTGAGAAAATTGGATTACCATGTGCAGAGGAACTAAATGAGACCCCTATATTTCACCATATATAAAAATCAGCTCAAGATGCATAAAAAACTTAAATGTAACACCTGGCATGATACAAATACTAGAAGAAAAACTTATGGAAAACGTCTTCTGGACATTGGTCTAGGTAAAGAATTCATGACTAAGATCTCAAAAGCACAAGCAATAAAAACAAAATAGGTAAATGGGACTTAATCAAACTGAAAAGCTTCTGCACAACAAAAAATAAATAATGGACAAAGTGAACAGACAACCTGCAGAATGGGAGAAAATATTTTCAAACAATGCATCTGATAAGGGATTGATATCCATAATTTAAAAGGAACTCAAAAAATTCCTAAATATTCCCATTAAAAAGTGACCAAAGGATAAGAATGACATTTTTCAAAAGAAGACATACAAATGGTCAAGCATATGAGAAAATGCTCAGCACCACTGATCATTAGAGAAATGCAAATGAAAACCACACAATGAGATACCATATTACACTAGTCAAAATGGCTATTATTAAAAAGTCAAAAGATAACAGATGTTGGCAAGGATGCAGAGAAAAGGGAACACATATATGCTGTTTGTAGGAATGTAAATTAGTGCAAGCTCTATGGAAAACCATATGGTGATTTCTCAAAGGACTAAAAATAGAGCTACCATCTGATCCAGCAATACCACTACTAGATATCTGCCCAAAGGAAAAGCAATCATTACATCAAAAAATACGTGCACTTATATGTTTTTCACAGTACTATCCCAATAGCAAAGATGTGGAATCAACTGAAGAGTCTATCAACTGACGACTGTATATATACCATGGAACACTACTCAGCCATAAAAAAAATTAAATCATATTTTTTGTAGCAATATGGATGGAATTGCCATTATCTTAAAAGAAATTACTCAGAAACAGAAAGTCAAAAGTCAAATACCACATGTTCTCATGAGTGGGAGCTAAACATGTATACACATGAACATAGACAGTGGAATAATAGACATGGAAGAGTCAGAAGTGTGTGAGGGGGAAGATGGAGGGGTGAGGGATGCAAAATTACTTAATGAGTACAATGTACACTATTCAGGTAATGGTTACACTAAAAGCCCAGATTTTACCTCTAGATAGTATATCCATGGAACAGAACTGCAACTATAACCCTTAAATTTATACAAATAAAACAAAAGAAATCCGGAGAAATATTGTTTATGTTTACATGAAAAAGGTGCCACATGGATAAAATACAATATGTACTGAAATATTAATATAATCTCCTTAGGTTGGTAGATAGATGACAGATACATAGATTGATCTGTGGTATAATGCCAATTTCTATTTTGAATTTATATTCAAGGTGACAACACTTGAAGGGACAGTTGAATGAGATCTTTTATGAACTATTTCATACACTTTTGAAAATAGTGCAAGTTGAGGTAAAACTGATGCACACTGAGCCAAGCAGCATTTAAAGAAAGAGTACATAGAACCATTGCAGTCCAGTTCAGTTTGTTGGGAATTAGTTAGGGAATAATAAAGTGGTTAAGATTCCACAAAAATTTTAATCTGATTCAAAAAAAAAATTTCAAAATTGATTGGTAAGAGAAATTTCTCTAATATGTTTCTTTAAGTCTGTAATGAGAAAACCTATCTCATGATTTAAAACTTATAACAAGCTGAAAAAACTGTGGCAAACAATTCTACTTGGCAAAGGGTTAAATTTAAAAAGTTTTCACATGTCTTCCACCTCCCTCCATTCTATTTCTATAGTTGATCGATACACACAAGCCTAAATTAAGACCATAATCATTGTATGCTGGTAACTTTTCTTCCCGTTTTGCACCTCCACACACTGATATCCGTAATTTTAGAAAATGGAATTTGGAACTTAGGCTGAATTGAACAATTGACATAATAAAATTTAAGGTTTTAGGTAAATATTGTCTATTCTTTCCAGGAAAGGGTCCTTTAGTTAGAATTTTGTGAAGTGATATAAAAAGATAATGCTAAAATTAAAGGTCAAAGAGCCATTCTATCTAATAGTTCTTTTCACATGCTTTAAAGATTCCTATGTAATGTTGTAGGATATAAAACTTCTGGTTTCATCTTAACATAAAAGAAAATTTTCTTTTAATCTTAAAAAATAGCTATCTGCTGCTTTTGAATTATGAAAGCATGAAAAGATATTCATTTTGAGCTTGTACAAAAATTGTTTTAACCTTTACTCAGATATTCCAAATCAATATTTTTAGAATTGAATATAGGCAACTGTAATGAGAAATGTAATCAATTTTAAAGTGGAAATAATTTATTTTTGAAATAAAGGTGTTTTTTTTTTTTTAAAAGAAGGTCAAATACTGTGGAACTTAGTGTTCATTTACTCAGTGATTTAGGCACACTCCAAAGTGTGATTCTCTGAAAACAAATATTAAAATGATGTGATCATATTTATTCAGGCAAAATGGATTCCAGAAAGACATCAAGTTAAAGTTGTAAAGAGTAAATTAGTTTGATTTAAATCATGGCAGCCCCAAGACATGACTTTCAGAGATTTTAGAGTATTGCGACTTTCCTCCTATCCCCAAACACCCAAATCTTCTGGAAGTGAGAACGATGGGCTTGCTGTGCAAATAAAGTCTCTTGGTATGTTCTCTAGTTGCCCCATTACATTCCTTCACTTAAGATTTATTCAGATTCCTATTCTCAAAACTTTTCTACACAGAAGTTCCACAGCCTAACTTAACCACTTTTCTAATTGCCAGCTATTTTTAATATCATAAGGAAAATTAGAATATTCTCTGAGATTAGTGGTTCTCAAACTAATTCACACAGCTGGTGCAGAATCACAGAGTCACAGAGACAGTTACAATAATTTGCAGTGAATTGAGAAAAGTAAGATTATGTGGCGAATGTATATATGTGTGTATATGTATCCATTTACTCATAGTAATATTTACCTTATAATGAAATATTAATTGTGGTACAAGATGATACTCCTTGAATGTTTTTCCTTGAAAAATAAAATTTGGCAAATCAGAGTAAATTACAAGACTTCACGGATCACTTGTCTTAAGAATTTATTTTTGATACTTTTAAGAATTCATTTTGGATATCTAATTCTCTCCAACAAGAAATACTGAAATATGTTTTTTTCTTTTAGTTTGTATCAGTGAAAGTTTTTAAAAATGATATGTCTTTAGCTACTTGTGATGAATGAATATGTTGCACCTGGTAGATGTGGAAATTGCTGTAAAATGTATGACTTCATTGAATTATGGTTCTACTTGAGGTGAGTAGTATGACCAAGCAGAAAAGTGTGTCATTGTTGATTCACAGCACCCTCTCTTTCTTCTCTTTCTGCTTAAGCTAACTCAGAACCTAAGGTCTAAAAATTTGTTTCTTTGTTGTTAAGGAAGATATGCTTTTCCCTATCTATACATTCCAACCTCATGATACCTTAGAAGCAGGGTTATTGTTACAGAATGAAGGATGTTAAACATGCAGGCATCAAAATTTTTTTAAAAAGGGATAGATTAGAATGTGCATATTTTATATATGTAAAAAGGAATTAAAAGACATAGGAACAGAGGCTTAACAGAAGAACTGGATTTAAGCACACAAGAAGCAACCAAAGTATTCTTTGAATAACCCACATGTTTATCCCAATAGAAAACCAACCATTATCCTGTCAAGCAGAATTGCTGTCATGCCCACATGTCCATGAGAAATTTATATATATTTATCATGGCAAAAGGTAGGGAAATAAGCATAATCATTTCTTTTCAATTTGTTTTCCTGTTCAGAGAGGCACAAGGAAAAGTTCTAAAAAAAAAAAATCCACTAATTAAAAAAAAAATTCCAACTAGGGAAAAATAGTCAGTCTCCTTATTTTGGGTACTACAATATTTGAGAGAAATTCTCTTAGAGCCCACTCCTCTGGATTTGGGTAGGAAGTGAATACCTTTCTCCAATGCCAAATTCTCCCAAATACCAAGAACCTCAAATTCTTCCCTCAGTCTTCTCATACTGACTGTGGGCATTCGTCCTGTACTAATACCTCCCAGAAAGCTCTTCAAGGAAGTAATGTGAGATATTTAGGGAATTTGCCTCTTCACCTTTGGAAGTTGATCACAATTTCAGGCCAAGATAAAAAATTCCAGATATCTTGTTACTACATGGAAATGAAACTGATACTATGTCAGAGATTACAAATTAAAGTTTCACTGAGGGTTAATCAACTTGAGTATAAGCTAAAAATACAAGCATGATTGAAGCTATGGCTGACTTATTATACTAACCATATACTCTTTGGAGTATTTAAGAAGAAAGGAAAAGCTTTTCTAAAAATGAATGCCTCATCTGTGTTGATAAAGTTTTGACATGCTTCTTGCTTTATCTTCTTTTTTTTTTTTTCATTCTCTTACTTGCTTTATTTTTGTCATAATACATTTTTTTAGCGTATTATGGGGGTACAAGTGTTAAGGTTACATATATTGCCCATGACCCCCTCCCCCCTTGAGTAAGAGCTTCAAACATGTCCATCCCCCAAATGTTGCACATCTTACTCATTGTGATTGTATATACCCATCACCACCTCCCCCCTCCCACCCTCCCGACACCCCATAAATGTTACTCCTAGATGTCCACTTAGGTGTTGATCCGTTAATACCAATTTGCTGGTGAGTACATGTGGTGCTGGTTTTTCCATTCTTGAGATACTTCACTTAATAGAATGGGTTTCAGCTCTATCCAGGAATATACAAGAGGTGCTATATTACCATTGTTTCTTAAAGCTGAGTAGTATTCCATGGTATACATATACCACATTTTATTAATCCATTAATGAATTGATGGACACTTGGGTTGTTTCCACAGCTTTGCAATTGTGAATTGTGCTGCTATAAATATTCGAGTGCAGGTGTCTTTTTCATAAAGTGACTTTTGATCTTTTGGGTAGATGCCCAGTAGTCAAATTGCTGGATCAAATGGTAGATCTACTTATATCGCTTTGAGGTATCTCCATATTGCTTTCCACAGAGGTTGAACTAGTTTGCAGTCCCACCAGTAGTGTAGGAGTGTTCCTCTCCCTCCACATCCACACCAGCATTTATTGTTTGGGGACTTTTTGATAAAGGCCATTCTCACTGGGGTTAAGTGATATCTCATTGTGGTTTTGATTTGCATTTCCCTGATGATTAGAGATGTTGAACATTTTTTCATATGTTTGTTGGCTATTATTCTGTCTTCTTTTGAGAAGTTTCTGTTCATGTCCTTTTCCCATTTTTTGATAGGGTTGTTTGATTTTTTCTTGCTGATTTTCCTGAATTCTAAATGGATTCTAGTTATCAGCCCTTTATCAGATGTGTAGCTTGCAAAAATTTTCTCCCATTCCGTGGTTGTCTGTTTGTTCTCTTGACAGTTTCTTTGGCTGTGCAGAAGCTTTTTAATTTGATCAGGTCCCATTTATTTATTTTTGTTGCTGTTGTGATTGCCTCTGGGGTCTTCTTCATAAATTCTTTGCCTAGGCCAATGTCTAGAAGAGTATTTCCAACATTTTCCTCTAGAATTCTAATAGTTTCACCCCTAAGGTTCAAGTCTGCACCTATCTTCTCTTTTATAGCCTCAGGATGTGAAGAAAAAAGTGTTTCCTGTTTGGCACAGAACAACTAAATCCAAAATAATGCAATTTAAAGATTTCATTTTGTATCTTTTGCTGCCCCTGATTTCTAAATGTTGAAGTGACATAGGATATCTTCAGTTCCATTGTCTTTGCTCTTTTGGTTGCTGTTGTAGGGTTTTTAAAGTTTATTTCAAAATATTAAGTACAAATGCATTTAGTTGCATGGATCACATTTGTAATGTTTTAGTCATGGCTATAAATGTGCTCATCACCCAAATCGTGTTCATTTGTCCTTGTCTTTTCTATCTCTACTCTTTGGTTAGGAGAATCCTGATTTTTAAATATGCTCCATATTCTTAAATTTGTATGTATTTTTCTGATATCAAATTTAACAGGTTTAGAAATCTTGACCGCTTTTCTAGACCAATGACTCCTCCACAAATATTAACATCATTCATGATTTTGTTTAGACCAAAACTTGGAAGTTATCTTCCATTCCTCTCTTTGCTTCACATACATATCTAACCCATCAGTAAATCCTAACAGCTCTATTCATGAATATATAACAAATATGACTGCGTTAGCCACTAATGTAACCTCTTTATCACCAGGTCATTATAATTTGTTGCCCAGATTACTTCTAATGCACCCAGTTTATTTCCATGCTCACACTCATACAATTGTCTCCCCATCCTTACTAACTACAGTCTATTTCCAAATCATTCTGCAAGGAGAGCATTATCCTGAACCTCTAAAGATATCACAAGAAATGAAAATTATAGACCAATATCCTTTATGAATATATTTGCAAAAATATTCAACAAAATATTAGCAAAATGAACCCAGCAATATATAAAAAGGATTATAGGCTATGACCAAGTAGAATTGTTGGTAATAATGTAGGGTTGATTTAACTTCTGAAATCAATTAAATTAGGTCATTAAATATGAAATGTCCGATTTCGAATCAAAAGTGTAGTTTGTTGTATCTCCAACAAGAAGCAGTATAATTAATCAAAGTATGTGCTTAAACTTTCAACACAGGTTTGTAATCTTAACAGTAGCTTCTTTATGCCAGCAGCAAAGAAGCCCGGAGAGGAAGAGGAGATGAAATAGTGAAAGAAATTTTCCATAGCTTGTTGAGAATTATTTTTCCTTGCAAGAAGTGGTCCAAAACCTGGAAGAAGTGGTAGTCGGTTGGGGCAAGGTGTAGTGAATATGGTGAATGACAGAGAGTTAGAGAGTTTCCAAGTCCAGCTTCTGCAGTTTGAGCAGCGTTGTCTGTATGACATGTAGTCAAGAATTGTCTTGCCAGACGATTGGTCTGTCTCTATTGGCCAATCTCAGCTAATTAATTGCAAGCATTTTCATCATTTTGTCCAATTGATTGCAGTAGACATCTGCTGGAATCGATTGATCAGGTTTCAAAGCTGTAGTAGATAATATCAGTGCTCCACCACCAGATACCATTAGCTTTTTTTGATGTATATTTGGTTTTGGACTGTGTTTCAGCACCTCATCTTTATGCAGCCATTGTTCCAAACACTTGCAGTTGTCAAAAAGAATCCATTTTTTTATCACACATAAAAATATGATGTAGAAACGATTCACCTTTATGTCATGACAGCAAAGAAAGGTGAGTTTCCAGACAATTTCTCTTCTGATTTTAGTTTAATTCATGCTGTACCCATTTATCCAGCTTCTTTACCTTGCCAATTTATTTCAAATAGTCCAATATTTTTGGAATTGTAATGTCAAACCTTGCTGCTAATTCAATTTTAGGTTGAGATGGATTTGCTTCCACTACAGCTTTCAATTCATCATTATCCACCTTGGTCTCAGGTTGCCCAGGAGGCTCATTTTCAAGATTAAAATCACCAGAATGGAACTTCTCAAACCATTGACATGCTATGTGTTCATTAGCCACATCCTCCCCAAACTCTTGATTTTGAGCTGTCAGTGCTGCATTGGTTCCATGACAGAACTCATATTCGAAAATAACATGACTCTTTGACTTATCCATGGCTTAATAGAAATTGCTTTAAAAAAAATTGAAAGACAATCACAAGCCAAAAAACTTTGCATTTGAAAGACTGAAGATGTACCTTCACAGTAATAGTAAAACAACTGTGAAAGTGAAATATCAGTGATATCAACTGTCTAACTTAGAATTTAAGGAAATCAGACATTTTGTACTTAATAACCTAATAGAATTTAGAAGGAAAACATGTGATCACCTAAATACATGCACTTTTAAAAAACCTCCAGTACCTTTTTACGATATAAACATGAAACAAACTAGGAATACCAGAAAATTTCTTCAATGTGACAAAGGGTATCTACCAAAAAAAATTCAGCTCTAAGAAACAACGGTGATATAGCACATCTTATATTTTCCTGGTTAGAGCTGGAACCCATACTACTAAGTGAAGTATCCCAAGAATGGAAAAACAAGCACCACATATACTCACCAGCAAATTGGTATTAACTGAGCAGCACCTAAGTGGACACATAGGTACTACAGTAATAGGGTATTGGGCAGGTGGGGGGGGGCGGGTATATACATACATAATGAGTGAGATGTGCAGCATCTGGGAGATGGTCATGCTGGAGACTCAGACTTGTGGGGGGAGGGGGTAAACGGGCATTTATTAAAACCTTAAAATCTGT